AATTAAAAAATGACTTTTACTTAAAAAAAATAGGCAATAACAAATGCCAGCAAGGATGTGGAGAAAAGAGAACCCTTGTACACTATTGGTGGGGATGTAAATTAGTACAATCACTATGCAGAACAGTTTAGAGCTTCCTCAAAAAACTAAAAATAGAGCTACCATATGATCCAGCAATCCCACTTCTAGGTATATACTTAGAAGAAAGGAAATCAGCATATCAAAAAGATATCTGCACTCTCATGTTTATTGCAGCAGTATTCATAATAGCCAAGATGTGGAAGCGACTTAAGTGTCCATTCACAGACAAATGGATAAAGAAAACGTGGTGCATATACACAATGGACTACTATTCATCCATAAAAAATCAGTGAGATCTCATCATTTGCAAAAAAATGAATGAAACTGGCAGTCATTATGTTAAGTGAAATAAGCCAGGCACAGAAAGACAAACACTGCATGTTCTCACTTATTTGTGGGAGCTAAAGATTAAAACAACTGAACTCATGGACATAGAGAATAGAAGGATGGTTACCAGAGGCTGGGAAGGGTAGTCAGGAGGGAGGGAAAAGGATGATTAATGAGTTAAAAAAAATAGGTAGAAAGAATAAATAAGATCTGATATTTGCTAGCACAACAGGGTGACTATATTTTTAAAAATTCAGTTGCTCATTTTAAAATAACTAAAAGAGTATAATTGGATTGTTTGAAACCAAAGGATAAATTCTTGAGGTGATGGATACCTAATTTACCCTGATGTGATTTTTATGCATAGCATGCCTGTATCAAAATATCTCATGTAGCCCATAAATATATACACCTACTATGTGCCCACAAAAATTAAAAATTAAAATTTTTAACAAGCACATTACACCCGCACAAATAAAGATTAAACAGAAATTCCAATACTTATTTACCTCTTTTTTTTTTATTCTTTATACTCCATCTTAAATGTTTTATTTATTTATTTTTTAAATTTATTTATTATTATTATACTTTAAGTTCTAGGGTACATGTGCATAACGTGCAGGTTTGTTACATATGTATACTTGTGCCATGTTGGTGTGCTGCACCCATCAACTCGTCAACACCCATCAACTCGTCATTTACATCAGGTATAACTCCCAATGCAATCCCTCCCCCCTCCCCCCTCCCCATGATAGGCCCCAGTGTGTGATGTTCCCCTTCCCGAGTCCAAGTGATCTCATTGTTCAGTTCCCACCTATGAGTGAGAACATGCGGTGTTTGGTTTTCTGTTCTTGTGATAGTTTGCTAAGAATGATGGTTTCCAGCTGCATCCATGTCCCTACAAAGGACACAAACTCATCCTTTTTTATGGCTGCATAGTATTCCATGGTGTATATGTGCCACATTTTCTTAATCCAATCTGTCACTGATGGACATTTGGGTTGATTCCAAGTCTTTGCTATTGTGAATAGTGCCGCAATAAACGTACGTGTGCATGTGTCTTTATAGCAGCATAATTTATAATCCTTTGGGTATATACCCAGTAATGGGATGGCTGGGTCATATGGTACATCTAGTTCTAGATCCTTGAGGAATCGCCATACTGTTTTCCATAATGGTTGAACTAGTTTACAATCCCACCAACAGTGTAAAAGTGTTCCTATTTCTCCACATCCTCTCCAGCACCTGTTGTTTCCTGACTTTTTAATGATCGCCATTCTAACTGGTGTGAGATGGTATCTCATTGTGGTTTTGATTTGCATTTCTCTGATGGCCAGTGATGATGAGCATTTTTTCATGTATCTGTTGGCTGTATGAATGTCTTCTTTTTTATTTACCTCTTTAAAGAATATTTTAAAAGTTCTAATATGTAAGCATTGGCAACATTTTTCAAAATTACCATTCTACATTCTCCTCCAGAGATGTTGGGCTGGGACATTTCCCCCAACAAAGCCCAAATCCTTGTCCTCACATCCACCGTTCATAGTTCTATGCCTTTTCACGCCCCTGTTACTTTCCAGCTCTTTCTGTCTAATTCTCTCATCTTTCCTTCTACTTCTGCAGACCTTCCCCTCTCTCTCAACCCAGTCCACAAATTTTTTTTCATGTTTTTAAAGTTGTCTTTTTTATGTTGGAAACTGAAACTGTCATTAGATATCCATGTGTTTTTTTTCTCTTTTTGCTTTTTATTTGTATTGTTTTTATTTTTATAGATTTAGGGGTACAGATGGAGGTTTGGGTATACTGTGTAATGGTGAAGTCTGGGCTTTTAATGTACCCATCACCTGAATAGTGCACATTGCACCCAATAGGCAGTATGTCATCCATCATCCCTCTTCCACCCTCCCACCTTTTGTAGTCTCCATTGTCTATTATTCCACTCCACATGTTTAGCTCCTTCTTACAAGGGAGAACATTTGGTGTTTGACTTTCTGTTTCTGAGTCATTTCACTTGTGATAACAGCCTCTGATAAGGACTACTGTGTCCTTAATGTCTATGCTGCAGTTCCATACTCAGGCAGAGACTGCCTCCTTATTTTTCTCTCCCATTGATTCCATCCATGTTGCTGCAAAAAACATGATTTCATTCTTTTTTTGGCTGTGTAGTATTACATGAAATATGTATACCACATTTTTAATCCAATCATCTGTTGATGAACATTTAGGTTAATTCCATGACTTTGCTGTTGTGAATTGTGCTGCCATAAGCATATGAGTGCAGGTGTCCTTCTGATATAATGATTTCTTTTCCTTTGGGTAGGTACCTGGGAGCGGGATTACTGGATCAGAGGGTAGTTCTATTTTTAGTTAGAAATCTATTGTTTTCTATAGTGGTTGTACTAATTTACATTCCCACCAACAGTGTGTAAGTGTTCCCTTTTCTCCACATTCTCACCAATATCTGTTGGTTTTTGGCAGCCCCCCAATTCTCTTTCACAAAAATGTAGGGATTGGACAGCCAAGGTCTTTATTTAGTACAATGAGGACAGAAGGGTGCTAGAGGAAGGTGAGGAACACTCACATATTAATAGAAGTATTGTCCCCACCCCACAGATGATAAGCAAAGGGGAACAGACCTTAAGTTGTGGGGAAGTTTTTGTTGGTTGTTATTTTCTTTTTTCTTTTTTTTTTTTTTTTTGAGACAGAGTCTCGTTCTGTTGCGGCTGGAGTGCAGTGGCGTGATCTCGGCTCACTACAATCTCCACCTCCCAGATTCACGCCATTCTCCTGCCTCAGCCTCCCAAGTAGCTGGGACTACAGGCGCCCGCCACCACGCCTGGCTATTTTTTTGTATTTTTAGTAGAGACGGGGTTTCACCATGTTAGCCAGGATGGTCTTGATCTCCCGACCTCATGATCCGCCCGCCTCGGCCTCCCAAAGTGCTGGGATGACAGGCATGAGCCACCGCGCCTGGGCATTGATTGTTATTTTCTAGAAAACAGGAGCAGATATAATTTTCTAACTCTGGCTTTGCAAATACTATAATTGTTCTAGCAGACTGGTACCTGCTGAAAAACCTCAGATGACTTGTAGTAACTTGAATTTGATTATCTCTCAGTAACTGTATTGAGAACTTTCTGGAAATTATATCTCTAACTCAACATCTTTGCTCTAAACGCTTGAGGTCAAAAGTCAGAGCATAAACAGAGGTGATGCTAAGGCAAGAACAGTGACTGACAGGGCAGGGGAGGAGGATGGAGGTGCAGTGGGGCTGACCTGCATAGCACTTCCCTTTGATAAAAAGAATCTGTTTCTTCCATAAGAGAAACACAATACTGAAGAAAAAACAAATGACCAAATGCAGACATTATTCAGTTCAATAGGACCAGCTCTATTACATGTCAGTAGACAGGACCAATAAAACTATGTAAGAAAATGGACACTAACATTCACCACTATTGCCCCCTACCCCATACATGGGTGGGTTGAGAATGCTTTGCATGTTTTTATCCAGATACATTTTTCTAATTATACTAGAATTAATGTGATATCTCCACTATTGAAACCTTTTTGAGATCCCAAGGCAATGATAGTTTTTAATTCCCTGAGGTAACCTTCTACATTAGAGGACCTCACTTCAAATGATTTTTGATTACTGACTGTGTAATGCAAATCTAACCACTGAGCTCACTTCAAACAGGGAAATGCTCAAAAGCAAGGTATTCTAGATTTAAAATTCTTAGGGATCAAAACCATGCCTCATTTATATTTTCCGTGACCCCATGGCATAGTGGACTTTATTACATAGAAATATAACTTAAAAAAATTATTACATTGAATCTCAATCTGACTTGAACACCAACTGTATGATCACCTCTCCATGCCTCAGTTCCTTCCAATGTAAAATAAAACTGGGGATTTTGAACTCAAATGCTTTCAGATCCAGGCAGGCAAAGTGAACATGTGAAGTAGCTTGAGTACCAGTAGGGAGTCATGAGGACTATGATAATGCCCATTAATCTGCAAATTCATTGAAATTGTGCTGCTTCCCTTAAAAAAAAGTTTTCTGATTATGTTTGGCTTGCAAAACACGTGTTTGAAATGCCTTATAAAGTTGTTGCTTCCCCCATCCCTTACATTGTTCTTGAGTCAGCCATTGCTCTGGTACACGTTCTTTCTAAGGACAGTCAAAAACAATATCGGGGGAGAGAGAGCTAGGTGGGTGATAACCTCCAACCAGAGCTTCCCAAGGAAATATCACTGTGTCCTTAATGCCTATGCTGCAGTTCTATACTCAGGCAGAGATTGCCTCCTTATATTTCTCTCCCATTGATTAACTAACTGATCCCCTGTAGTAACTGTTGCTAAGTTTCAACTTAGAATAAGCCACAAAAAGCAGAACACACCAAAACAGACATCTGGGAATGAACATTAAAGGTGTTCGGAGTTTTCCAATTTATTAGTTCCAGAAAGTAAGACTCTAGTGAGCAGAGGGAGTCGGGATCATTAAAAATGCTGCCATGGACCGACAGAAACACGGGGACGATCCCAGAGTCCTGCAGAGAGGGTGGAGACAGCAGTTGCTGTCTAGTCTAGGCAGAGAAGGCAAAACCCAACCTATTGTTGGCCATGTCATAGACAGAGTAATATTCCTTGAGGAAGACATCCCCTAGAATCCAGAGGGGCTGCCCACTGCGGGAGGGGCAGTTAGGTGGCCTCAATTCCGAGCCCGCAGTAGCCATTGTTCTGAAGAGACAAAGGACATAAAGATACAACTAGCTGTACTATAGAGACCTTTCCCCACAGGAACTCCCCACGTTATATTACATAACTCCTGTAGGGGGCCCTGAAATCCTGTTCAGCCTCAGCCCGATCCCTGGTGCCCCGCTCACATCATAGGTGCCCAGATGTGAGCTGGGACATGGAACACCTGTTTGGGCCACCGAATCCCAGTACCCAGGAAGCCAGAAGTGAATACGTACATTGAAGACATAGGCAGAGGGAGGCAGAGGAAACTGGGCCCCGCCGATGGTGAAGGTGATGGTGGGCATGCTCTGTATGTAGCTGCAGTGGACCACAAACTGAGAGGGGGAAGAGGCAAAGCTGAGGCGCTCCAGGGGACTAGGAGCCCAGGTAAAAGGCCCAAGGCCCACTTTGTTCCCGTGACTTCCCTGTAAGACTTTCCCCTCGACCTTCCAGTAAAGGCTGTTTCAGAGCATGGAAGGCCTGGCCTTCCCAGGAATAACTCTGACCAGGCCCGCTTGCTGTCTTCGGTCCTCTCCTTAAATACATCTCAGCTTTTGGATTTTGGTTGTATTGATATGGTCATAAAGAATGAGGCTTATTCTAGAACAGAGTCTCTAGCCTCAGAAAGTGAAAATTACAGAGAAAAGGCATGGGCACACACTTGTGGAAGCCTACTCTCCCACACACTCATATCCACATTTGTGTGCACACGTCTGTGTACTCACCATAGCATATGCACACATGTATGCATGCACGTGCACAGATGTGCACACACACACACAACTTGAGAAACCAAGGTTTAGTCTGGGAATAGATTCTTGCATGTGGGGAGAAGCAAACAACAGATATGAGTACAAAGCGGGCAGATGTGGGGAGAGAAGGCTACTCAGAATGAAATCTAAAGATGTATTCCTACGGGAGAAAGAAATCAAAAGGAATGGAGAAATGTGTTGACTCTAATATTTCAGAGCAGTCAAATGATAGTGGCCAGAAAGCTGAAATTTGCCCCCAGGACCTACAGTGAATTCATAGCACCTCCTGACAACCATTCACCCCATACTCAATCAGTCTGAGGAGAGATGGTGTTACTCCCTCCCCTTCCCCTTCCTTGCATTGAAGATTCATGACAGAAATGCCATGCTGTGTCCCCACCCATCTCTCCTACCAAAGCCTCAGGTCCCATTCTACCCTTCCTCCTCTCTGTTGTGAACTCCTTGCACTCAGGCGCCTGTGTTGAGTCTGTCTGGGTGTGCAGAAAAGCCCTTGGCTTCTGATTACTCACATCACCATTCTGAGCCTGCTGGGCTCCTGTTGCCTGCAGGAAGGAGCCCATGTACTGCTGGGGAACTGCCAGCAGGAAGGTCCCGGTAACCACAATGGCCTGGCAACCCTCAGAGCACAAGCCAGTGGCCTGGTTACCGATGGCAAATCTGAGGGGGACACCAGGACAAAGAGAATCAAGTGCCTCTACTGAAAACATGAGCCATGTCATCCCTTGTCCCCCAACCCAGCAGCTCTGATGTTCTTCCTCTTCCAGGCAGCCAAGCCACTCCTATTACACATCTGCCCATGAAATGCTTCAGCACATTTGTGATTATTGGAGTCGCATCCTCAGTCTTGATCTGATGCCCACTCCAGCTCTGACTGAAAGCTCTAGGAAGACAGAGCCTGTGTCTTATCTTCTTTCATCTACCTATTTGGGGTCCAGCACATAGTGCCAAACACAGTCAGGGCTTGTAATCAATAAATAACTGCATTTTGAGCACCTACTATGTGTAAGACACTCTTTCAGGGTTTATGGTGATACAAGGAGTGGGTAATTTGTGCTTACTGTTTTAAGGAGCTTATTCTAATAGAGATGAAACAACACAATTAATCAAGCCATGACTAACACTGTAAGGCAGTAGCTGATAAACCCTGTAATGTGGTACATAGCGTCTTACATGATTCAGTCTCTGACTCCTTGTCTTGCTTTTTTCTACTGCTCTACCCTTCCTCTTCATCCCACATAGATGTGTTGAGATCTGTCTACGAGCCAGGTGTCATGCAAGGCACTTGGAGATACAATGGTAAACAAGACATACACCACAGTCTAGTGGAGAGCCCAGACACTTAACAAAAACACACAAATGATGTCTGATTGCAGCCCTGATAGGTGCACGTTGCAATGTGCCTGAGAAAAGAGGACTTGATCTAGTCTGGGAAGCCAGAACAAGGATTTTTCTGAGGAAGTGATAAAGGATGAGTAGAATTGGGCTATATGAAAAGACACCTCTATTCCATGTACAAATAATCTGCCAAGCTCTTACCTCTTTCTACTCTTGTAGGTTGGGCTGTTTCCCCACTGCCTTGCCCAATGACTAGGACATGTTAATTGTGACAGCAGCACAGGTAAGCATTATAGGATCAAAAGAGAGAGAAATCACTGTGCTCTGGGCCCCTGGAAGGATTTTTAGGAGAAGATACAAATTAATCTGGGCTTTGAGGAATGCCTACAATTCAAGTAAGCACTCCAGGTGGCATGATTAAAAGAACAAAAGCAAGAAAATCATGGCCAGCTGCAAGGACTTGTTGAAGTCTGTGCTAAATATCGTGAAGCACTGAGAGGCTGTATTGATAGGTGGAGCCGAGACTTTGTATGGTCTTAAATACAGATCAAAGGAGTTTTGTCTTCAATTGGCATGTGATAGAGAATTCTTGGCTGTAGAAATAACTGATTTGAGCACAAGCTTATCTGATCCCAATGCAGATCAGATAAGCTTGTGCTCAAATTTTGGCCTTATATAATGCGTGACTTTGGACAAGTTACTTAGCCCTCTGAGCCTTGATTTCTTTATAGAATGAAACATATTGCTGACCTCCTTATAGTGCTCTTGTGGAAATTATATGCAATAATGTATTCAAAGTACTTAGGCTGGGCACGGTGGCTCACACCTATAATCCCAGTACTTTGGGAGGCCAAGATGGGTGGATCACTTGAGGTCAGGAGTTTGAGACCAGCCTGACCAACATGGTGAAAGCCTATCTCTACTAAAATTACAAAAAATTAGCTGGGCATGGTGGTGGGCACCTGTAATCCCAGCTACTCAGGAGGCTGAGGCAAGGGAATTGTTTGGGTCAGAGAGGCAGAGGTTGCAGTGAGCCGAGATCATGCCACTGCCCTCCAGCCTGGGTAACAGAGTGACACTCTGTCTCAAATAAATAAATAAAATACTTAGCATAGTACCTGGCATATATAAAACATCAATGACAGCTATTACTTTCACTAATGATAGAAGTGGTAAAGATTATGCTGATGGCAATCATCAAGCTTCCAAGATAGAAACATAGATTCACAGTGCCTAGGAATGACCAACCTGCCAGCATGCTGAGGCTCAGTACCCAGTTCAAAAAGTCTAGCGCCAGACACCAGTGTCTTCTGAGCTCCAGGACCACCTCAGCCTGGGGCTGGTGATTCTATTTAAGAAACCTGTGTGATGTGGAAGAACAGGAAATGTTGTTAAGCTGGGGGAACACCCTGCGAGTGTCCACAATCCACAGGAGATGCCCTCTCTACTAACTCCTCGATGCCAATCTGCCAGTACAGTTCCCGGGTGACAGGGGTTCAGATGATCTGACCAGAATAAAGTTGGGGGTCCACACCTCCAAGGATGAGCTCTCCACCATACTGGCGGGTTGGTTGGCTAGTGAGAGATGTAGAAGAACGTGAGTGTCCACACACAGTCAGTGAGGCCGTTCTTTCGCCTCTTTCCTTCCCGCACTCCCTCAGACACGGGGGCGCCACAGATGAGGGGATGCTGTCCTCTGAGCTGCTCTCAGACTTGGCCTGCTGAGGCACAGGAGGAGACTTCTCAGAGTAACACCAAACTACTAGACATGATGCCCATAAAGAAGATGGGAATAGAAACCAGGCACCCAAAAATGAACTAGAAAAGGATCCCAGAGAAACCCTCCCTGGGAGGAAGTGAGAACAACAGGAAACAGTTTTGGGGACAACTAGAACGGAGCCTGAGAGAGCCTGCGAGTGCACTCTGAGAGGCATGCTCCCATCATGGTCAGGTCATTAACTAGACAATACTGAAAGGACTTCGGCCTTTTGTGCTCCTTATGCTGGCCAGTCGTAGAAGAAAGACAGGTGAACTTCAGGTACTTTGAGGATCATGTGTTTGGGAAAGAAGGAACAAGGGATAAAAAAGTTTGGCACAAAAGTTCAGTGCCAAGTGGAGCAAGAAAAGTACTGGATTTGTGATCAAGATATTTGAGTTTGAGTCTTGGCTTCACACCTACCATGAGTGACCTTGATCAATTCTAACAATCTGTTTGAGCCTCCATTTGCTCCCTGGCAAGATGGGGCTAATATGAGGATTTTTGAGATGGCATTTGAAGTAACTGCTAGGAGAACACTTTATAAAGCCAGACGTAGTATTATGATTATTCCTCCATTATAGTTCTCTTTACTAGTAATGCTCATGTGGCTTGTTCTTTAGTGCTATCACAGCAGTCTCCAGATTTCCTAAATAAACCCTGAGGGACAGTTACTCCATTTTATGAAAAGTCATCATGTAGCTTATAGCTAATATAATTTAAAATTCTTTTTTTTTTTTTTTTCCGAGACGGAGTCTCACTCTGTCACCCAGGCTGGAGTACAGTGGTGCGATCTCGGCTCACTGCAAGCTCCACCTCCCAGGTTCACGCCATTCTTCTGCCTCACCCTCCTGAGTAGCAGGGACTATGGGTGCCCGCCACCAAGACCGGCTAATTTTTTTGTATTTTTAGTATAGATGGAGTTTCACCATGTTAGCCAGGATGGTCTCAATCTCCTGACCTCGTGATTTGCCCGCCTTGGCCTCCCAAAGTGCTGGAATTACAGGCATGAGACACCTCACCTGGCCTAATTGAAAGTTCTTAAAGTGTATTTAAAATAAGATTTTTCCCAAATTTTCTGAAATACGGGAATTTTATATAGCAAGTTATACTCATTGTGTCAGAACACCTTATAACCTGGACCCCATCTGATCTTGGGTTGCCTAGAATCCCCATGGACCCTCAATTTCTGAGCCCTTCACAAGACGAAGGTTCTCACTGGGTGAAGTAGAAGCTGAAGTCAGGCTGAGTGATCTGGCCCTGCTGCAGCATCCCCTGCATCACTGTCGGGGAATTCCCCACTGCCATGCTTCGGTAGGCCATTCCCAGGATCCCGTCAAAATCTGAATAGTAGAACGGGTCACTGAGCTCATTCTCACTGAGGCCAAACTCCTGGTTATTGACGATGATGTTCTGAACCTATGGCAAGCCGACAGTATAGCTTGACAATTCAGGTGCACAAATCTTACGGCTTCCCAGACTTATGTGCACAGGGTATAGAATCCAGAAACCCTCCTAGAGAGGGAACATCAGCTTCTTTCATGCAGAACCCAACCACAAGGGTGGGAGTGGAGGGTGAAAGAGCAACCTTTCCAATCATGTGTGTCTTGGAAAAAAGAGTGTGGATGTTGGAGAAGTGGAAGAAGTTTTTTCTGGAGTTATAGTTTCTACTTCCATAGACAGTGAAAGAATCGAATGGTTTCATACTGAACAATCTATGTGCAAGAATGATTAGAGGAATTGTAGGTGTTTGAACTAAAGAAATAAGAAAATAGTAAAAAGGCTTGTCTTCAAATATGCAAAGTGCAACTGGGTGGAAGAGGGAGTAGACCTATCTGTGTGTTTCCAGGGGGCAGAGTTAGGACCACACAGCAAAGTTGCAAGAAGACACAACAACTTTAGCACAACATAAAGGCTTCCTGCAGTCAGGACTGCTATGGAAGCAATTTACATCTTGGGACGAAGGCTGAATTAGATAGGCTTTGTGTTCCTTCCAACACTCAGCTTCTGGGAAGCTTGGACCTAATTAGTAAGCATGGATTTCTCTAATAAGGTGTAAGACTCTCGAAAATGGGAGCCAAACCACAGACCCTCAGAAGCTATGAAAACACTCCTTACAGTCACAGTGTCATAGCCCAGGAACACACTCAGGTTGCCACTCCCATAGGACAGTGTATAGGTTTGTCCATTGTTTCTGAAGGTGGAGGACAGGCTGGGGTTGAACCTGTTGTGATTGGCTGTAGAAAGACAGAACGGAATATTAATTTCATTTGCAGTTTTCCAAAACACATGAAGGCTACTTATCCTTGATGGATTGGGCTCATCAGACCAAGGCTGGGATAGGGCATCACCCTAGATCTTTTCTTGTAGACAAACTGTGCTAGTCCTAGAAAAGTCTATGACACACATTGCCCAAATTCCTTCCAGCTGACCATTCTCTGAGGGAAAGATTGCCTCAGACTTGCCAGGAATACTCGGCCACAAGAGGGAGCTAGGAGGAAGGAAAGGAAGCCTTAGTCTGTTTCTGCTCTCTGTCTCCAAAAAAGTCAGCACTTCTGGAAAGTGGTGCTGAAGTGATAGACTGAGAGCAATATCTAGATGTTCCAAACAGAAGGAGGATACGTGATGGATACGCACAAAGAACTCTGGACTTAGAATGATACGCCTGCACTCAAATCCCAGCTCTGCCCCTCTATCTGCTCGCCTCATGGTGTGGAGGGTGATGGTGACATACTCACAGCAGGTTTGGCTCTGGCAGTAGATGGAGGGCACCCAGAGATTGGAGGAGCCCGTGTCAAAGAGGACTAGGAAATTTTGGGGTGGTGTCCCAATGCTGATCTCCCCAAAGTAGAAAGACTGCAAAAGAAAGGTTTATCACCTTCATCAAGCAACCAAGCCTTATCTTAAGAATGGACAAGCAGTTAACCCACAGGAAGCCACACTCTGCCCAAATCATTTTCTTGGGGGAATGAGAGGCTTATCCCACAAGTTCTCCTTCCCATCTGGAGTTAGTTCCTTTCAAGATTCTACTTTTTGTCCCTAATTGAAAGCCTTTGGCCAGCCAAGACTTAATATGGCAAGACAATATCCTCTTCCAAACGTGTTTTCTACTTTTACAATAAGCTGATATCTTCACTGCACTGGAGTGCCCAGAATTGAGGAAACAATCACTTTTTCTCTTTTCCCAGTGTCCACACACACACACAAACACACACACACACACACACACACACACACACACCACTCCTCTCCCCTTCCCTTTCAATGTTAGATACTTCTACCACCATTTTCCTCCCTCCCGGTCACACGCTGGCAGAGGGTGCTAGGCAGCTGGAGGAGAGATAGCATGGAGAGAAAGAAGAGCTTTTCACTGGAAGGTAGTTTAAGCTCTAAGTTAACTTGGGCCAGTCATGTCACTTACCTGCCTCTAATTTCTTCATCTATAAAATGTGGGAGTTGAAATAGAAGATCCCTAATGTGGCTTCCAGCTCAGACATGTAACATAACATCTCACTAAGGACAGTCTACAGGACAAGAGAATGTCAAGATGCCCTGATGAGACATGGTGGGCTTGAGAACATTCAGGCATTTGCTCTGGGGACTATGCATCTTTCCAAAGAGAGAGAGATGCAGTATCTGAGCCACTGGAGCTTTTGTCTGACAGTCTCACATGTATTTTCCTTCTTTCCCCTGCAGCTCATTGCCAGGACTTCCTTTGGATCTCTCAGTTGACTTGAACATTTCTACCATGAATCTCTTAACCATATAAATGAGGCTTTAGCAGGATGGGCCAGCAATGAGAAGAAAGGAGGAAAGAAAAGGAATTACTATACTCTTAGATGGTACCAACTCACAACTTGTTCTGATTCTTTCCATAGAAAGGTAAGACTTTGGTTTAGTAACTAGTCAAAAATTACAGCTAATGAGCAGTATAAGAGAATGTCCAAGAATGGTGGTTATGCAAGGATTATGGACACTCCCTGCCCCATCACTCACATGTAGTTGGTGATGGGCTCATAAGCAACAGCATCATTATTGAAACGATACTTGGCAATTGGATCAGCCTTTGGGTGGTCCCTCAGAAACGTTTCCAGTATACCCTGCTCCTCCATTGTCTGTTGGATAGACTTGCCTGATTATAAATCAGGCTACTATAAAGACACATGCACACGTATGTTTATTGCAGCACTACTCACAATAGCAAAGACTTGAAACCAACCCAAATGTCCATCAATGATAGACTGGATTAAGAAAATGTGGCACGTATACACCATGGAATACTATGCAGCCATAAAAAAGGATGAGTTCATGTCCTTTGCAGGAACATGGATGAAGCTGGAAACCATCATTCTCAGCAAACTATCACAAGGACAAAAAATCAAACATCGCATGTTCTTACTCATAGGTTGGAATTGAACAATGAGATCACTTGGACACAGGGTGGGGAACATCACACACTGGGGCCTACTGTCCAAGATCACTTGGACACAGGGTGGGGAACATCACACACTGGGACATAGGAGGCTGGCGAAGGGATAGAATTAGGAGAAATACCTAACATAAATGACAAGTTGATGGGTGCAGCAAACCAACACGGCACATGTATACCTATGTATCAAACCTGCACGTTGTGCACATGTACCCTAGAACTTAAAGTATAATGAAAATAATTTCTATGGAAAAGTATGTTAATTGCTTTTCTCATCTTTCCTAGATTTTTCCTGCCTGCATATAAAAACTTAACCCTGATAACTGCTGCCACCTGGTGGCAATATTCCTAACTTACAAAAACAGAGTTTTGAAAGGTTGAAAAGCGTCACAATCCAAGTCAGATGTGAAAATAGCTCCCAACATCTTCTCCACAGCTCTTTCCTAGGTGAAGACAACATGTACCTGTTCATTTGTCTTGTCTGAGACTGCTCTTTCCCCACCCATGTCAAAGCAGCCAAAACATCACCTTTCCAGCTGTTCTTAAGATTTCCCCCATCTCACATCCATGCCTCTGACCTCTCAATCCTTTAACACGACAGTGTTCATCCCTTTAACACTCCAGAAAACTTTCTAAGTGCTCTCTTCCTATGTTTGGACAGTCTTCTTTGCAGCATGATGTTACTAGATAAGCTCTCTGAGTGTTTCCTTAGCCTAAGATGAAAGAATGTATGCAAAGTGCAGAGCAGCCTCTGAGTTCTCCGGGATACGTCATTCCTCTCATCATTTTTAAAGACTTGTGGGAGCCTGGTTCCGGAAATATCACACACTGTACTCAGCACAGTAGCTTCTATGTAGTAGGTACCCAAGAAATAAGTATGGAATGAGCCAACTCTATAGATGGGGCTTCAAACCATCCTATTAAAATACACATATTTTGCCAGTTCAAGTTCATTACAGAGCTCCTATTAGTTGGTGCAAAAGTCATTGTGGTTTCTGCCATTACTTTTAACATTATCATGCCTGTAGTTTAGCTTTTCCTGTTAGCTAGGAATGGAATGATGAGACCAGACACATTTTAAATGAGAATGGAAAGAAGTAGGCACAACGTCCTAGGCAACTGATGATACTGGGAAGAGCAACGTGGAGCTTCACACAGGGTCCTGGGGAAAACAGGCACAGAACCTAGATGTTTTCTTTCTCAAAATTAGTAGAAGTCTAATGAAGCCCTTGCTATGTGTTCAATATTAGACTACTGATGATGTAAGCTTACCAAAACCTTCTAAATGTAGAGCAAATTCTCTTAGAGTGAATTCTCTTACAGTGTTTTCTTGGTGCTTAGAAAACAAAGACTTATCACGGGAAAGTGTCCGCCTCAAACGTGTGTCTTCCCTTCAAGATTTGAAGCTGCACCGGGCAGGAGGCCATAGAGTTGAGCTGGGAACTTATGATGAAAGATGAACCCCCTTAAGTCTTTCAAAACTTAAGAAGAGATAGATATCCACCAACTATCAAACAAAATCCCAGAGAAGTCATTCCAGAGCAACAGGGACAAATCAAAAGTAGATGAATATTTCAAAAGCTGCAACTCAACCCTGACCTGGATCAATCCCTAAATAGATTGGAATTAGCTGGCTTTCACTCTGTCTGCATAACAGAAGAAAAAGACCTTTTTAATGAAAGAAAAAAATAAAAGGTAAATGATGATACTGGGAAGATCAACATGGAGCTTCACATGGGGTCCTAGGGAAAACGAGTGCAGAATGTAGACATTGTCTTTCTCAAAATGAGGAGAAGCCTAATGAAGCCCTTGCTATGTGTTCAGTATTAGACTACATTAATTCCAGGGTATTCACAACTCAACTGACATATTCTCTTCACTTCTTTCCTGAATTATTTAGTTTCTCCTGCTCTGCCCTGCCCTTGGCTCTTCCACAGGACCTGACTGTAACCAGTGTTCCTGGAAGTCTGTGTTTGAACTGCAGAAACTAATTACACCAGAGTGTTCCCACTCCAGCTGCAGGTTGTTGGGAGGCTGAGAAAATGTGAAATTCTACACCAAGGACTATGTTTCCATGGGCTCTGCCAGCCTCTCATCAAACCTTTTTTTTTTTTTGAGGTGTAGTTTCACTCTTGTTGCCCAGTCTGGAGTGCGTGTAACCAAAACAGCATTGCACTGGTACAGAAACAGGCACACAGACCAATGGAACAGAGCAGAGAGCCCAGAAATAAGAATGCACACCTATGCCCTTCAACAAAGCTGACAAAACAAAGGAGAAATGACTCCCTATTCAATAAAAGGTGATAGAAGAACTGGCTAGCCATATGCAGAAGATTGAAACTGGACCCCTTCCTTATACTATATACAAAAATCAACTGAAAATGGATTAAAGACTTAAACGTAAAACCAAAAACTAAAAAACTCTGGAAGACCTAGGCAATACTATCCTGGACAGAGGAATGGGCAAAGATTTCATGACAAAGATGCCAAAAACAATCACAACAAAAGGAAAAGTTGACAAATGGGATCTAATTAAACTTAGGAGCTTCTGCACAGCAAAGGAAACTATCAACAGAGTAAACAGACAACTTAGAGAATGGGAGAAAATATTTACAAACGAGGCATCTCACAAAGGTCTAATAACCAGCATCTATAAGGAACTTAAACAAATCTACAAGAGAAAAACAACCCCATCAAAAAGTGGGCAAAGGACATGAACAAACACTTTTCAAAAGAACACATACATGTGGCCAGTAAGCATATGAAAAAAAACTTCAACATCACTGGTCATCAGAGAAATGCAAATCAAAACCAGAATGAGATACCATCTCACACCAGTCAGAATGACTATTATTGAAACGTCAAAAAATAACAGATGCTGGCAAGGTTGCAGAGAAAAGGGAACACTTAGACACTGTTAATGGGAGTGTACATTAGTTCAACCAATGTGGAAAACACTGTGGCTATTCCTCAAAGAGCTAAAAGCAGAACCACCATTCAACCCAGCAATCCCATTACTGGGTATATACCCAGAGGAATAGAAATCACTCTACCATAAAGACACATGTGGCCAGGTGCAGCGGCTCTCAGCTGTAATCCCAGCACTTTGAGACCAGCCTGGGCAACGTGGCCAATACCCGTCTCTACAAAAAATACAAATATTAGGCAGATGTGGTGGTGCATGCCTATGGTCCCAGTTACCAGCAAAGCTGAGATGGAAGGATCACCTGAGCCTGGGGAGGTTGAGGCTGCAGTGAGCCATGATTGTGCCACTGCACTCCAGCCTGGGCAACAGAGTGACACCCTGTCTCAAAAAAAAAAAAAAAAAAAAAGGATACAGCACATGTGCAGATGAATATTCATTGCAGCACTATTCACAATAGCAAAGACATGGAATCAACCTAAATGCCCATCAATGACAAATTGGATAAAGAAAATGTGGTATATACACACCATGGAATATTATGCAGCCATAAAAAAAACAACAAGATCATGTATTTTGTGGGAGCATGGATGGAGCTGGAGGCTATTATCCTAAGCTAACTAATGCAGGAACAGATAAAGAAATACCACATGTTCTCACTTATAAGTGGGAGCTAAGTGATGAGAACTCATAAACACAAAGAAGGAAAAAACAGAAACTGAGGTTTTCTTGAGGGTGGAGGGTGGGAGAAGTGGGAGGAGGGGAAAATGATAACTATTGGGTATTGGGCTTAATACCTGGGTGATGAAATAATCTACAACAAACCCTTGTGACACAAGTTTACCTTTTTTAAAGGTTAAAAAAAAAAAAAGAATTGCTAATGTATACACCAGTAAGAAATAAATTCACTAACTAGAGTACAGTATTTATGTATAGTTCCTTTTGTCTCTACCCTTTTCATATAAATTCAAAATCCTGTTTTCCAAAGTTAAAATTACCAAGGTTAGTACTTTTCTTTCCTGACCTCTTCATTGCAGTTATATTGTTGTTAAGTAGAGTTCATTTGTTACTGCTCGTATTCCATTTTCAGTTGCCCCCACCACCACATTTTCATTGAGAGGATGAATTTTTGCATTGTATTAGATAAGAGCACTGTTTGCAATTGTTGTTAGGATACTCAAGTATGAGAAGAATAATTACTATGTATGTGTGTACGTTGCATACCCCCAGAGTGATCCTTACAGCTGTAAACATTGCCCAACTCGGTACTCATTCTAACCCCCTCCAGTATGCTTTCCTGTGATATAGGCTAGCAAGCTAAACCTAAAATTCCCAGATTCCCTGAAGTAAAGGTTTCATCTGTGACTTAGGTTCTGCTAAGCAAATGTGCCTATAGGAAACTTAGGTGAATTATAGAATAAAGGTAATGAATGTATAGGGGAGACCAGGTCTTCTGGGAAAGCAGAGGTAGAGATTCTAGTATCTAGTCTCCAACATCACGGATGCTGAGCTGCAGGCAGTGATAGCAGTGGGATTACTGCTAGAATAGTTCCAAGGTATTCTCCATGAATCTGGCATTTCTGCACACCTTGGACTATCTTTTCAAGGATATTCAAATAGCAAATAGCCTGGAGAACTGCAGATAAATCTCTATCTCCGGGCAAGGAAGAAGAGGGGAAAAATGAGCTGGTCATCAGCAGCCTTATATATAACATCATAGTTTCCTAATCTTGGGGTTTCTCTCTTGAAATGCACCCACTGAATGTGCAGGCACAGCTTCGTCCTCGTTGCATCTCCCTTGTAGCTTGTGGAACTGGGAAAAAATTTTGATCTGGTTTTTGCTATTAATAATAAATTCCCTTGTCTCTGACCCACAGGTCTTGTTTTTTGTAGTGTGCATACACACACGGCAAAAGGCTAGGTTGTTAGGTTGCAAGTAGGGTAAAATCTGAGACCTCTAACAGTATGTCTTAAAAAGTGAGTCATCCATATCTCCTGGACATGTTATTTCCAGATGTATAGTATCCCATCCTGGTTTCCTGATCCTCCCAGAAACTCTAATACCATCTAATGTCTTTTTTCTTAAATTAACTTTAGTGGATTCCATTATCTGCAACTAACAGCTATCATAAATAGAGGCAAGAATCTTGACCACCCATTGATCTATGCTTTGGATTAGAGGATAAAGACAGAAGACTCAATCAATGTATAGCTAAGAGAGAAGTTCAAGGAAGCTTATAAATAAGAAAAAAACACAGATAAATTAGAAACTGGAAGGCAAGTTGCCCTTGAATAAAGTGCATGCAGAAGATGGCAGAAAAACAACTCACAGATTCATCAGAAATATTTATTTATTTATTTATTTTGAGACAGGGTCTTGCTTTGTCACCCAGGCTGGAGTGCAGTGACACCATCGTGGCTCAATGCAGCTTCAATCTCCAGGGCTCAGATGATCCTCCCACCTCAGTCTCCCAAGTAGCTGAGACTACAGACATGAGCCATCATGCCCAGCTAATTTTTTTGTGGAGACAAAAGGGTTTCATATATGACCTAGGTTCTGTTAAGCAAATGGCCATGTGCTTTCACATGCTTCAATGGCAGGTGCCTGATCCTATGGACATGTTAATTTCAGACTCCAGCTTAAAGACTTGGAGGCTACACTTCCAAAAGAAAAAGTAACATAATGATAGGTATGACACCCACTCTGTGTAGTGCTAGCTCATAGAATTGGAGGGCTAGAAATTGATCCAGTGGCTATAGCAACTTATGAGGGACAGTCATGCCTAGGAAAATGTTCCCTGGGTGGATTAAAGGTTTAATGTGTGAGAACTGGTGTTTCTAGAGGAGACCAAGCAGAATTGTGAAGGTAATACTATAAGAAAATAATTTTTAAAGTATCTTTTTTATACCTTTTCCTCAAACACTTCTTGAGGAAAGAATAGATGGGGTTGTCTTTTCAGGGAAAACAAGGATTTTACCAAGGAGAGAATGTAATTGGAAGACTCAACTTCCCCTTCCCCATCTCAGCTCCCCTTGAGGGTGGCAGAAACTGTTCTAGAAGAGGCTCTGGCTCCAACCAACAGTGAAGGGAGCAGTTGCTCATAACAAAGAAGGAAGCACATAATCCACACAGGATAGCATCATTGTAGACTAGACACAAACTCCATCTTTCCAAAAATAGCACTGGGGAAAATGACCTTGAAAGGGAGAAGCTGACAACTGAGTTGCAGAGTTCAATTAAAGAAAAGAATCTCAGAGAACTCGGTGGGTTCTTGTGTTTACAGTTTATTTAATGGAAAAGAGATTGGCCTATTGTGGTTTTGATGCCTGCTTTGCTCCGGGATGAGGAAGCATGTCACTTAGAAGAAAAGACAAGGGTTTTCCCTGGTTTCTGACACCAGCAGGGCTTAGGCTCCTTGATCCACAGCAGAGTTTTCTGGGATTTCTTTTTTTAGAGAAAGAGGACTTGTTTGAGGGGTTACTGAGTTGACAGAGGAATGGTTTCCATAGACAGGAACAAAGTGGTTGTCAAAAGCTTGAGGAGTATGTTCTGGGAGCTGGATGACAGGGCTGGAGGACAGCATCATCCTGTTTTCAGCTTCCCTCTAAAGACCCAAGCTACCCATCCTGGGGGTGAGTACCCACCTCAGAAGTCAAATACTCCCCTCTTAAAGGCACAGTCTGCCCTTCAGGGGTGACTGATATCTTTCTGGAGGAGACAGTCACCTTTTCACGGGCTACAGCCTTCCTTCTAGGGGCCATTGTATTCTGTCTAAGGGTCTCGGTCTGAAAATGAACAGGGGTCATAGTCATTCCTCCAGGGCTCACAGACTGATGACTCACAGAGGTCACAGATGGATGACCTACAGGGGTCAGGGTCTTTTCCCCAGGGGTCACAGAGTGATAACCCACAGAGATCAGGGTCTTCGGTCCAGTGGTCACAGATTGATGACCCACAGGGGTCAGGGTCTTCTTCCCAGGGAGCTCAGACTGGTGACCCACAGGGGTCAGGGCCTTCTCTCCAGGGGTCATGGACTGATGACCCACAGAAGTCATGGTCGTTGCCCCAGTGATCTCAGTCTTCTCTCCTAGAGCTACAGTGTGCTTTCCAAGGGATACAGTTTCCTTTGTAGGGGTCACAATTGTAACTCTAGGCGTTATAGTCATATTTTCACATTTTCCATTGATCTCAGTGACCCCAGCCTCTCCTCCTGGGGGCAAAATCTTAATATCAGTGGTCCATGCGTTGGTCACAGCCAGCCTTTCAGGGTCAGTGCTTGAAGAATTCACAGCAGATGACAGCCAAAACTGTGGTAAAGAAGTTGAACTGAACTCTAAAGAAAATCAACAGAAAAGAATGAGATTCCTACCACTTTATTCTCATCCTATTAATTACTGGCAGAACTAGAACCACTCCACCGCTGAAGTACCTGCTCCAAAAATTCAGAAGTGGAAGATTTAATACTATACCTACTTGAGGACATAGATGAAATTCCACCACATAGAAGCCTTGCTCCAGACTCCATCATGTTCACAGGTCCCAGACACCCACAGGCACTCAGTGGATTTGCTACATTTTCCATGCCACATTCCCCAGAAAGGAACCCACCCATTCCTTGTGCTCAAGTCCTCACTTTGACATCTCTGACTGCACCATCAGCAAAACCTTGCCCTCGAGGCCTAATGCTAAAGAATTACTTGATGAATCCTCAAGGAGAAGCTTCTTATGTCTCTATGTTGTAGGAGGCACCAGGAACAAAGCCAGGGGCAAGGAGGTTGGAGACAGCATGCTGTGAACAATGGGACTGGGGCCCACCTAAAGACTTGACCTGACTGAGCTCCAGTCACATTACCCATAAAATGAAGATTATAAACCATCTGTAAGGATGCTTCACCCCTTGCATGCTAGTTTCCATTTCCTAATTGCCAGGGTAGCCTCTACTATCAAAAAGAGATATCAAAAGAAACCTAATTCCCTCAGCCCTTGCCCATGAGAGTAAGAGAAAGAAAGAAAGAAATAACATATATTGAGTGCTAACTATGAGAATTTTCATTCCATAGCTCACTTAGTTCTTATAATAACGTCATGAGTATACAGATTATTCCCATTTTAGATAGAACAAAGGAAGCTCAAAGAGGTCAAATAAGGGCCAAATATCCTAGCAAAGACTGGAAAACATATTGGCCTGGCAAAGCTTTTTCTCTCCCCTCGATGTCATGTTGCCTCACCAAGGCATTTAGATCTAGCACAGGGACTCACCCAGTGCCTGGTGATGCAACTTCCAACCCCAGCTTCTAGGTCACAGCTACTTACCAGCCCGCACCAGGATATCATTCAATACGTAGACAAGGGGAAAAGGGCCAGTGCCACAGAACGTGCCCCTGACGTCATCCATGTCCAATGTCCACACCATGGCCCCCCCAAAATGCTCTCGCCTTATAAACCACGCCTGTAAAAGTAACAGTCAGTCAACTCACTGTACTTGGCACTCTCCAGACTGGGTACAATGGCAAAAAACTGAAGATAGTCCCTCAGGAAGCAATGTAGCAGGGTGGTTAGGAATGTAGCCTGCATTTGAATCTAGCTTTGCTGCTTATTAGCTATGGGATCTTGAAAAAGTTATGTAACCCTTATGTGTCTTAACTGCCTCATTTGTTTAAAAAAAAAAAAAAAAGAGGATAATAACATGGTCAACATTTTTAGACCCAAAAGATTCTTATATGCACATACTACATACAATATGGATGAAGCGTGAAGACACTATGCTAAGGGAAATAAGCCAGACACAAAATAAGAAACAGTGTATGACTCCACTTATGTGTGGCATGTAGAGTAGTCAAATTCACAGAAACAGAAAATAGAATGGTGGCTGCCAGGCGATGGGGGAAGGAGGAAGGGGAAGTTACTGTTTAATGGGCACAGGGTTTCCATTGGAGAAGATGAAAAAGTTCTGGAGATGGATGGTGGTGATAATTATACAACAACATGAATGTATTTAATGCCACTGAATTTTAGACTTTAAAGTGGTTAAAATGGTGAATCTTGGCTGGGCGCGGTGGCTCAAGCCTGTAATCCCAGCACTTTGGGAGGCCGAGACGGGGGGATCACGAGGTCAGCAGATCGAGACCATCCTGGCTAACACGGTGAAACCCCGTCTCTACTGAAAATATATTTTAAAAAACTAGCCGGGCGAGGTGGCGGGCGCCTGTAGTCCCAGCTACTCGGGAGACTGAGGCAGGAGAATGGCGTAAACCCGGGAGGCGGAGCTTGCAGTGAGCTGAGATCCGGCCACTGCACTGCAGCCTGGGCGACAGAGCCAGACTCCGTCTCAAAAAAAAAAAAAAAAGGTGAATCTTATGTTTTTATGTTACATAGGAATGCTACATAAGCCTTCCTAAAGAGTTCCTATGCATAAGATATTTGGATCAATACCTGGCACACAGTGAATCTTCAATAAAACTTAGCTACTAACCCTCTGGGTTCCCCACCTCACTAATTACTATTATTATCATATTAAACTGTAGATATTGCTCTACTGTTTAAAATTCATTTCCTTATCTCACAGTGATGCTATAAAATGCAGTAGAGCAAAATATTATATTCTTCTCACAGATGAGAAAATAAAGGCTTTCATCCACACTTTTTAAAACCTCCACTACAACTAAATGGCAGAGCTTAGATTCAAGTCCAGGTTTTATTATTACTTTGCCAGCGCTCTGTCAAGTCTGATGGAAAAGACAGACTCCATCAGGTCCAAAGAGCTGTGTGCCTTAGCCAAGTCAATTGGCTGCTTTCAGGGGTTGACTTTCCCCAAATGTAAAATAAGAGGAAGGAGGAACCCAATCATTAAGTCTGATACTGTGAAGTTTCTGAGACTTTTATCCTACTTACAAGCTAACAAATTAGCCTGTCAGTTTTGTGTGTACACACACACACACGCACACACACACATATACTCACAAACCCCAACGCCCCAGACCTCTGGATCAGAGGACAGAACATTCATTATTCACAGAAAATAAAATAAAATAAAATAAAATAAAATAAAATAAAAAATAGCCAGAATAGCACCTTGAGTCAGTTTCCATGTCCCAATTACCCAAAGGACAATGTGATGAAGGTCAGATGTTCAATTCACCTGCATGTACAGTGGGGTCTGCGCTACAGAGAAGAACCCTGAAATTATGAGACTCAGAGCTTATATAGAATGGTTGACCTACGTGGCCCTCCTCCCTCCAGAGAGAGGAGAGAACTTGGAACATAAACAAGTCCTCCCTGCGAAGGGGACTTTTGCAATCATTGAAGGTAAGCAAATGGCTCTGGGGGAAAGAGGAAAGCAGCTCTCTATTTTTAGTATAGCTTGTCTGCTTCCTTTGCCCAAAATCCTCAAACTGTGCAGGAACTCTGAGAAATCCAGGGTATAATTATCTCCCAACAATAATCCCCAAAGTCTCTTTTAGCTCTGATATTCTGTGTCAAAATCCCTTAACCATCCCCACCCTGGCTTCATGTTCCCTCACCTAGTTCTGCAAGTTACAGTAACTGCACCTCAAAGCAAGACCACCCTCTGCTGCTCATCCCAGGGCCTCCCCCAACACACGGGGTCAATCCCCTTTCTGACGTCCTACGGGTCTTAGACTTAATTCCATCCAATTGGGTAAATGCGTTGAGTCATTAATCTTTCCTATTTGTGTCTTCCCATTCCCAAACCACAGAGCAAGATCCCACATGGGAGCATGGGAGAAGCCACGCTCTTTTATCTGTCTCCTCCCCAGCAGGCCTCACCCAGTGTTAATGCACAGAAGAGCTACACAGTGAATCTTCATGAGTGCCTTCCTCTCTGGTGCTTCCCACACAAACGTGCCCCCCAAAACAGCCGACACCTGGCATTTCTGCATCACTGGTAACAGGAGAACTGTGAATTCTCTCTATTTAAGTCTCAATACCAAGCAGTTGCCACATTATGACAATTTCTCACCTTTCAACTGCTGTTCCTTCCAACTACCCTAGTCCAGACCCTCATTATCTCACGCTTGTACAAGGATCACATGTGGAGGCATTCTAAAACACTTTCCAAAGTTTTTCTAAGACCTACTGAATATTCAGGAGTGGAACCATGATTTATACATGTATCCAGTCTCTCAGGTGATTCCAAAACAGAGGCAGGTTTAGGAACTGCTGGAGCATGTCAGTTCTCTTTTAGTTTACTATAAAAACCTGCCAGATTCAACTTCATAAAATACCACCTGCATGAAGGGAGAGTGGTGGTCACAGTTTGGTTCTAAAAGTTTGAAAATTAAAGGTCATCCACCTGTAGAAACCTGATTTTGCCTTAAAATGTCCACAGGATGAAGACTGAACACCTTTACCAGCATTCAAGTCCCTTTATAAAAAGCCTCTGCTTCACTCAAATTCTTCTTTGAATCTGCTATAAGCTTTCTACATCACTGAGCCTTTCCCCCATGTCATCATCTTCTCCTACTCCTGCTAACCTCCCTCAGGAAGCCCTCCCAGACTTCCTCATTTCTGCTACGTGTCAGTAATATTTACAGAGCACTTACCATGATCTACTTTGTGTTGGTTATTATTTATCTGCTATGAAATTAGTTGGTCCAAATGGAAAGGAAGAGACCAAAAAGATCATCAAAAAGCTATAAGAACTGAGAGAACTATTTATTCCCTCAGAACCTAGATTCCTTCTCTTCAGAATAGAGAATTGGAACAGATGGGATTATGAAACCCCAGTTAGAACTAAAATGTAGGCATGCCTGAAACTCCCCTGGTCTAATCATCCTCACCTTTCACCCTCCACCCGATACACATGCATGCATTGCACAGAAAAGGGCCCCATGGAAGCCAGTAAGAAACCATGTGCTGGAGCATGAAAGAACCAGGCTCTCACCTTGTAACTGAAGCTGATGGCATCATCATAGCCAACCCACTCTTTCCCCTTGTTGGCATATGGGACATACTGATAATCAATCCAGTGCTTCTTCGCTCCCCAGACAAAGGAACAAATCTGCCAAGAGGACCACCAGGTTAGTTCTGGAAAGTGCCACGGAGACAAGCACCAGGAGACAGTTGTTCCTTGCTCAAGGTTAAAGAACGCAAGAATCCCTAACCAGCGAATGAGAAGAAGGTAAACCAAAGAGAGAATGGAGAGGCCACTCAAAAATGAGTTCCTCTCTATTTTGAATAAATTCCTGCTGTTACCTGTTCCTTCCTCTACTGTCCATGATGGGAAACAGGGAGCCAAAGAGTGGATTACATCCTTAAGAAACCAAGCCAGGGATATAATGCCAGTACCAAAATCGTAAGAGTAACATACCTGATCCTTGACCAAACCTGTATCTCATTCAAAGTGTTTTCACAAACAAGTCTCTCCTGTTCATTAGATCCCAGCACAAACTGCCCCATAGAGGTAGTTCTCAAACTAGCACCTGAACTTCTAGTAGATTTGAAGTTCTTGAAGGCAGGGAGAGCTAGGTTGCTACAATCAATTAAGCATTTGAGTGTCTACTGGATGCCCAGCATTGTGCTAGAAACTATATGCTGCAAACAAGTAGAGGTATGCAAGTTGTGCTGCAGAAGTTAATGTCTAAGTCATTCCTTTGTACTTTTGGTGCGTTAAAGTGTCTATCAAAGCTTTTTTGCCCTTCAAGAACATTGTTTCAACTCTGCCAACACTCCTAAAAACGCTTCATTGGATTAACAGGAAAACACCCTCATCCATCCAGCGCAGAGCAGAGATTGCAGAGACTTGCAGCACCTCCGCTACTGCCTAAAGTACTCAACCTGTCCCTCTGTACCTGCTGTCCTCTACCTGGGAAGTCCCTCCCATCTAGTCATTCCTGTCCCTCAGGATTTTCCTGTGTTTCAAACTCCGCTCAAACTCTACCTGCTCCATAAGACCTTTCCAGGTCACTACAGCCACACACTTATGTGGCTAGTATTGTCACCTCTGGTGGTTCCATTCCCTTGGAAACATGTCTCTTTCCACCACTCAATAGCAAGCTTGGTTGAGATGAAGATGAAGAGGGTAGAGCTGGAGTGGAGAGAAAGAACCTGTAGTAGAGAAGGCCTTGGAATTGCTTCAAAATAATCTAGTAGTAGGGAGGGAGGGAGTCAGCAGAGATGTGACAAAATTGGCCATGAATTATTAATGATTGAAGCTGAGTGAGTAGTATGTGGGGGAGGTACAGAGGCTATACTATTCTTTTAATTCTGCATATGTTTGAAACTATATATATTGCAAATATTAATGATTTTTATTTAGGCCATACAAAAGGTCAGGGTTTACCTGTATAGCATTTAAGATCCTTTTTTGGGGTACAATGAAACCCTTCCATCCAGATTCCACCAAGTCCTTCGTCCCTTACAAAGGGCTCAAATAATTTACCCCAAAGAAAAAGAAAATACCCCAGAGAGTGACTTCCCTTGTCCTAATAGCCCCCCTCTTTGCCCTGTCCACAGCTCTCACCCTTGCCATTGCCCCTTGTCCTGGCCTTTGCTCCAGCTGGGGGTGGGAGAGTCCTAACTGCTAGACAGAGACTGCTATTCTATTCCCGTCACCTCAAAATAAGCCAAGAAGCCTGCTTGCTTGGTGTACTTCCCTGGAGATGCTGGTCCGATCGCTGTGGCCTGCAACCCATTCTTAGAGGCTTTGAGGAGGCGAAAGGTGCGTCCATAGGTGGGGATCCCCATGATGAGCTTCTCTGAGGGTGCCCCAAGCTTTCTCCAATAATTCATAGCATATGCCTGCAGGTAAGAAGAATCCACACTCCTCCTTGTTACTAAGAGCCAATGGCCTGAGCTCAGGGGGACAGATGTCTGGGCCACCTGAGATCTTTCCTTTCCTTACCGAAGATTTGGGGTCTTCAGGCAGAGAGAACAGGGGGCTATTATGTCCTGTGAACTTTTCCCAACTTCCATGTAAGTCATAAGACAAGACATTGATGAAATCCAGGAGTCTGTAAGGGGCAGGAGGAAGAGATATAAAGACCGGGCTAGCCAGATTTTCAAGTCAGATCATCACAGCACTGTCTAGCTAGTTAGCTAGACATTGGTCACCAGAGCTTCCCTGCTCCTTCTGCCTGTGGGGCCTGCCCATGCTGTGCTATCCACCTGCCACTGGAACACACAGCTGGTTAGGAACAGCTGTGTGTGAGGATCTATGCATCCTGAGAGTATCTGTGGAGGTAGGCAGGAGTCAGATGAGAGAAAATACACTCAGGCCTGATACAAATGCTAACAGGCATCTGCACAAATGGTCCTGAGTAAAAGCAGTCTGTTCTGTAGCTTGTCTTTCTATAATTCCAGGAGCCATTGAAACCTACCTCCTTTAGAAAGCTTTCATCATTACCAGGTTACAGGGATAAGGGTTTACACTGATTATCTAATTTAATTTTAATCTGGCTAATTCCCTAAGTACTGTAAGCATCTCCATTTTAAAGGTGAAGAAACTGAAACTCAGATGGGTTAACTAGTTTGCCTAAAGTTGCCCAGCTGGGTGAGGGCAGGACTCTCTCAATCCTGTCTGGCTAAAAGATCAACACTAACACACTCCATGTCCCCTGCATCTCTCACTCTCCTCCCACGTTGAAACCACTCTCTAGTGCACTCACACACAGGAACATCCCATTTCTCTTTTGGTCTGCATCTGCCTCAGTTTCCTCTTCTGTAAATACTTGATTCTCAAAGTTCTAGAAAATATTCCTAGAGCTGACATGTCGAAAAAGATTTATGTGCTGCTCTTTGTCTAGCTTTTTAACTTTTGCATGAAGAACTGCTCTGAATTATGGGTGTGACTGGGCATTCCTACTTTTGTTTTTGTGACAGTGATTATTAATTCACCCATCTCTGATGCTAGCATCTGCTGCATAGTGTATGTCTACAGATATACTCTAGGTAGAAAGAGGCCAGGTCCCTGGGATTCTCTCCTAAGCTGTGCAGAAGACTCTACCTGTGCTAACATTGTTGTGGGCAGATATTACATCACCTCCCTCTCAGGTCTAAAGAAACCCTCAGGGTATAATGGAGCTAGCCCTTGTCCCCACCCATGCCCCTCAGCCCAGCCCCAAACTTGCACTGACATCAGGGCAGGCACATGGTGAGCTCAAAAACAGGGCTTGGGAAGCTCTGGTGTTCTGAGCTCAAGACACCTGCTTCCCTCCAATGTCCTGCCCCACCAAGGCAATATACACTCACCTTCCTAGAAAGCGCACATCATAGGATGTTTGGACGATGTGTGGGACCCCAGAAACAGCAGCAGACAGCAGCAGCCTTGGGCGCATGGTGAGCAGTGCCTCCTTCCGAAAGGCAAACAGGAGCTCCTAGGAGGAAAGACAGAAAGACACAGAGAACTGGACAAACAAGAGGTGGGGCCTGGGGAGAGTGTCATCTAAGAAGCATTTACTGAGCTCCTGAGCCAGGCTCTGGGATACGAAGGTGAGTTGGACATGGGCCATGCCACAGGCTCATGAGACAGGCAGATGAGGGCTGATGTGGTGAATGATTTAATCGTGCAGTGGCGAGCAGGCTCAGGAGCATGGAACTCAGAAAGACACTGCCTGAGGGAGTGCAGGAAGCTGCACACAGAAGGCATCCCTTAGGCTGGAGGACTGGAGCAAGCCCCAGGTGCAGAGAAAGGAGCAACCTTGGGGAGTTACAGGTATTACCCTCCAGGGGTTCACAGTAAAAGAACATTCTGTCACCCTCTTCTGCCCCTGGCCCTGGACTTATGCTCCTCTCCTGCCATAAGCCCAGATATATAAAAGTAGAATCATTTCTGGATTCTGGCGCTTCCAGACCAGACTTACTTCAATTAAGAAGAGAAAAGTCCACCGGTCATGCATGGGGCTGCCTCTTAGTCCAGGATATAAGAAAAAAAGATCAAGACCATCAAAGTCATGTGTCCTCAGAAGGGATATAACTGAAGCAATAAACTTTTCACGGTTGGCAAATGTGGACAACATAGTGGTGAACCTGCAGGGAGACCAGGGGTAAGACAACACTATCCACAGAATGACAACCTCCTACAAGGCCCCTTGCAAGCTTGGTGCCCTGTGGTGGGCCTGACAGATGTGGCTGGAGGAAAGGAAGGCAGATCTCCAAAACTCTCCCACCTTCTTCCCTGCCTCTCCCAGCCCCAGGAGCTCAACACCCAAGAGTAGGGAATTCAGGCAGCTAAAAGAAGTTGAAAACCATGTACTGCCCCGAGGCCAGATGGCACAGGGAACAGCAGGCACAGAACCAAGCAGGTAGCCTGGGGTGCAGAGAAATGTCTCAGTCCAGCTCTGCCCCCCAAAACATGGTATGCCTACTGGCAAGGCACCGCCCCTCTCTGTGCTGTCTCCTCATAGGAAACCACTCAATTCCCACAACCTGTCCTAGCACTGACATTTTCTACCTGACTGGATTAGGGGAGAGAACATGAGTCTAGGGCCAGCATGTCCAGAAACATCTATGAGTTAATCTGGGCCTGAGCTGTATAACTTGGCACAAGAGGCCTGTGCTCTGATAAGGGGCTCCTGATCGTGTGTTCTTTTGTTCATTGCTTATTTGATATTTTTTTCTATTTTACGTTGTTTTCTCTTCCATAGTGATGACACTTTGGAAAAATTCTAACTTATTGGAGCTGAACTTTAAGCAACTCTGGGTTAGTCCTGAGCTGAGCCATGATTACAAGATTAACCAGACTCATAAATAGACCTGGGTTCCATGGTGAGTTTGCCACCTCCTTGCTGGGCAATCTCTGAGGAATACCTGGGACAAATCTGGCAAGTTCCTTAATACTCGTGACTTGTGCTTTCTGCTCTACCAGTTTGGAATACAACCACTTTGTAAGCTTCCTCCAAGTGTTCACGGGTTAATGCATGTACAGCCCTAGCCCAGTATCTGGAGCACTGGGAGTGTTCAGAGAGGGGAAGAGGTAAAGCCTGGGCTGGGCAGAGCTAGTTCTCACCCCTCTGCCCCGAATCTTTCCTCCATCTTGCAAAGTGCATCCTCACACACTCTCAGTCCACCAGGCCTCCCTCTTGTGCATCTCATGCCTCTAAGGCAACAAGGCAAGCACGGCCTCTACCCCAAGCCTCAGCCATGAAATAGGGGAAATGTTTCTTCAGAAAATATGAAGGCAGTTTGTCATCTCAACGTTGCCTCATGGAGATTGAAGTGCTAACAAGAGCAGCTGCTACATACTGAACATGTACTATGTGCCTGCACTAAGCTTAGCCTTTTTTTTTTTTTTTTTTTTTGAGACGGAGTCTCGCTCTGTCGCCCAGGCTGGAGTGCAGTGGCCGGATCTCAGCTCACTGCAAGTTCCGCCTCCTGGGTTCACACCATTCTCCTGCCTCAGCCTCCCGAGTAGCTGGGACTGCAGGCGCCCGACACCCCCCCCGGCTAGTTTTTGTATTTTTTAGTAGAGACGGGGTTTCACCGTGTTAGCCAGGATGGTCTCGATTTCCTGACCTCGCGATCCGCCCGTCTTGCTGGCTTCCCCCTCTGTCTTCACATCTAGCCAACCTGCTCCACCCTCCCAGGGAGAAGACAATAACAGCAAAGTCTCACCTTGAGGTGCCAAAGTTCCACCCGCCGATGGACAGCAGTGTTTTCAGCTCTCTGTTCCTATGATGTGGGAGAGAGGGTTGATGAGCTGAGTCCTCCACTCCAGTGGGCAGCTGCTGCCACATTCTTTTGTTTTGCTCCGTGGAAGAAAAACAGGAAACAGGAGAGATGGGAGGTAAGGGAAGGAAAAGGAGGAAGGTGATATTAGGAGAGAAATGAGCACAGGACAGAGAAAGAAAGACAGAACAATCAACCCAAGGGCCATCACAGCCCAACAACTCCAAGGTTGCACAGAGTCTGCCAAACTCGCGCATGTCCCCATGATGTTTCCAAAAAAAGAGTAGTCTAAAATGTTTCTCTTTTTCCTATTCAACAAATACTTATTGAGCGATGTCTATGTGCCATTTACTGCTTTAGGCACTTTAGAACAGAGAACAACACAGATAAGCTCCCCACTTTCAGGGAGCTTATAATCTAGTGGCATAGAACTTTTTCCCTGCCCATCTATAACCATTAATGCAGTAACAAGCCTTCCCTTGGGCACGGAGAGATCCCAGGAGTTCTGGAGAGAGGAAAATGTAAGCAAACACTTACTGAGCACCAACCCTGTGTGAGACACTGACCTAGCCACTGGGGATACAACGACACAGCAGACGCTGCCCCTTCCCTGGAATAGCTCAGAGCTAATAAACGGTAATGAAAACATGAGCATTTGTTGAGCATTAGGGATGTGTAGGCCCACTTTAACCGCAATAATAACTAAAATCCTCACAACTAGGTTCAAAAGTTGAGTTGGGTTTTGCCAGGCAGAGAAGAGAGAGAAGCACATTCCAGGCAGAGGCAACAGCAACTACAAAAGTCAGGAGGCAGGAAAGAGCTCAAGGTGTCTGTGACAAGGAGTTCTCAAGGTGGGGGTGCTCTGGACCCCTATTTGAGAGGAAGCTAGGACTGGAAGAAATAGAGGAAAGTTGAAGAGTAACAAGAGAAATAGACTGTTATCTTATACTGGTGAAATCTGAAAATACCACCCCCACATCCAATATGAACACACCTCTCCTTTAGTTTGTTGAACTCTGGGTAGAGAATTTTCTCGTCCTGGAGATCCTTAGCAACAATCTGATTGTTGTTCATTGAGGCAAAGGCAAATATCAGGTGGGTGCAGAGAAAGGGGTCCAGGTCATGGGGCAAGATCGAGGCGGGACCTGGCCGACTCTGTGCCCAGTTGGTGAAATAACACACCAGTTTATGGGCAGCACCTGGTAAGGGAGAGCACACATTAGTTGACAGAAACCAAGGGAGTGGATGGAGCTCAGCTTCCAGAAAGCAATGTGAACGCAGCAGCCCAAGAGACCGGGCCACATTTTCACATCCTCTCTCCCTGGCCCTGAAGTACACCTCAAAACTACACTGTGGTTCTATTCCTCCCGCACTGCTGAGGTCTCAGGAAGAAAAGAATGCCTCGTGAAATCCTGGTCAGAATGGATTCTCAAGTCTGGACCAAGGCACACAGTCAGAGACACAAACAGCAGGTGACCACAAACCCTCTGAGAAACTGTGTTGGATCCCTAATCCCTGTCAGAGGAGCCAGGGAAAGGTGGCTGCAGGGGACACTCAGTGTGGAGGACTTCTCAGCCAGAGACTCTCCCTGGCTCTGGAAGGGAAAACATAGTTTCCTTACCATCGTGGTGTTTCAGCACAAGAACCAGCCCTGCGGGAAGCAAAGGGAGGAGTCACACAGAGATTCACACCCTCCCCAGAGTGGCATACCACAGCACACCCTCTGGTTAGCAAGGGCGCCCACCAACACAGCACCTTACACAGATGCAGACGTACAAATGGGGACACACACACCATTCACTCATTTCCTAGTCTCTAAAGTTGGACCAGTGGAGCTAGATAGAAGTTCCTTTTCTTCTGATAAACACATGTATATGCTCATGCTTTGCTCAGGGACAACGATGAGTCTTAGAAGTCCCAGAAAAAGCTTCAGGCTAGTGGTTCTCAACCCTGGCTGCAAATTAAGAAGCACTGATATCCTGGCTGGTCATGCAGAGATTCCGATGGAACTGATCCAAGGTGGAACTCGAGCATTTAAAATTTCTAATGTGCCACCAGATTGCAGAACCACTGCTCTGACCATTTCTCCCTGGGGCCCTCTGACCTCTGACCGTTCACTATAGCCCATCCCATCTCTATCTAATCCAGGCCCCCTGAGTCTCAGGCTGCTATCTCAGGAACCAAAGAGATGACAAACTCATAAAGCCTGGCACCTCCTGGACTGAGTGACACTGCTGGGACCTGCCACACTCACCAACCCACAGCAACAGCTTCCACATCTCAATGATCTGATAGCTGTGAGGCCAGAGATGGAGCCCTTTATAGGAGCTTCCCTGTGGATAGCACTGAGACAGCCCAGCTACACACACACACACACACACACACACACACCCCACACACACACACCCCCCCCACACAGACACACACCAGTGCCAGGATCAGTAATTTATGAGAGTCATAGTGACCCCAGAACTACCTGTCCTCCCTCTCCAACAAAGCAACAGCTCCGGGTTGGCACTGAATACCAGGAAGAGGGTCTTCCTGATATTCAGTACCACATGGACCAGATATGGGGGAGAAACCCCATATGGTAGCAGCAGTTCTATTATTAAAAGATGATTGGCTGGGAAGCAGCATAATTTAAAAAAAAAAAAGTTTAAACCCTAGCTTTGGATTTAGGCTTTGAATCCAAGGTTTGAATTCAAAGTTTAAGTCTCAGTATCACCACTTAGAAGTTTTATAATCTTGCACAAATTACCTGCCTCTGCGAGCTTCAGTTTCCATGCTTGTCAAATGGAGATGACAGCTCAGACTTACCTCATAGAGCTTTATAGAGATCAAAGAGATAATGGGTCAAAAAGTGTTAGTTTTGTGCTTGCATATAATAAGGGCTCAGTGAATGGTAGCTATTATTAGGGATGTCAAAAGGGTTGCCCAGGAAAGCAGAGTTCTCAAACTCAAATGACACTTGCCAGGCAGGTAATGTAAATGGATGGCATAGATGCAATAAAACAGCTCTCTCCATTTTATTAGAAAAGTAACAGTTCATGCCCAATGATGTACATCAACTGACATGAAGCCTCTTGGTCAGGAGACAACAGAGATCAGTATAAAGAGGGACAGCACTCTGAGCAGCTGCTAATGGTTGCCCTGCAGGGAAATAGAACCAGTGTTGCCGGATCCTTCAGTTTCTCAGGAGAAGACAAAACCTGAATTTTTATGAGTCAACAATATTTGAGTCAGTATATGAGCCAATTGTGAGGATGTGTCATGAACCTCAAGAATATGATGGATACAATTCTGGACATCTAAGAGCCAGTTTTTAAAAAATGCAACAACAGGAGTATGAAAGATTAAAAAAAAAAATTTATTACCAGACTGCAAGCGAATGATTCATCCGTTTTCTTTCTCTGCTACAGAGGGTCTCAGACCCTCTGCCCATTGTCACAGAGACTGATGCCGCTCATCTCATCCACATGAACTACCACAAGGTTTTAACCAGATGTCAACATAATCCACAACACAGGGAAACAATGACTAGTGATCAAATTCATATAACATCTATCCTTCATTTCCAGTATGAAGAAGAACAGGAAAGTCATTGTTTTAAATCAGCAGTTTGCTTGAATATGATGGAATAAAAGCAACAAATTGTATAGAATTTTTGGAGTATTTCACTGAAACTCTGGGAAAGCCTGATAGAATACCCCACCCAACCAAGACTATGTCTCCTTTTCTTCATCCATCTTTGCCTTTCTTTACGTATTCAACAAATATTCACTGAGCATGTGCCACACCCTGCTCGGCACTTGAAACAGCTTCTGCTTTCAAGGAGTTTACAATTTAGTGAACAGATTGATCCTATCCCTAGGGCTAGTGTATGTCTTTCTTTCTTGGAGAAGTAGCATGATGAGTGCAGTGAGGAAAACATGAGTTTTGTTGCCATAATGATTTGAGATACAATTCCCACTCTGTACCATCACTGAGGCAACCTGGGTCCCACTGGCATGCTCAATGCCACCCTCCATTCCTTGGACCAATATTAACCTGAATCAGCAGATAATTATGCCTCCTGAGACCAACACTGGATCATGCTTGGCAACAACTTGTACCATTGGTTAGACTACCCCTGGTACGTTTTCTGACTACAATGACCATGCTGTTGTTCCCCCATTCCTAGACCTTGTGCCCTCATTCTTGTAACTGGGTCTGGTCCCTGCTTTGACTTCTCTTCCTGTTCTACAAACTGCTGGCACCACAGTTGGTTCCTAGGGCCTGGGTGTGCTGACTCTGTCGTGCTAGGTTCCTCATACCCTATAGCCTCAGGGCCTCCTGTCTTTGAAAACCTTTTTGATGTGGAATGCCTACCTTTCTCTACTTCTGAGCCTCCTCCCACAGCATCCCCTGCCCCTCAAGATTTCACATCACTGAGATTTCCCACTAGGCTGTGGCCTTCCACTGAAGCTCCTAATAGGGGCACTAGCTGCTAATGCTGTACCTAACACAGAAGCCAAATTTGCCTGCCAATTTGAACTTCACTCATCTGCACCTGAGTCATCCTCTGGATTCCTATTCTGTTGCATTAAGCATGGCTAGATCTCAGACCTGACCCCTCTGTACCTTGCAAAAATGACTGATGATGCTGAGAATGCCAAGATATAACAATGGATGCCCAGGAATGACCTCTGCATAATGCAGGGATGACCGTGCCAAAGAGCTGGCAACTATGCCTCTATATGTTCAGCAGATGATGAATAGTAAAATGCTGAATGGGGGTTATGTTGAAAATCAGTGTGCCGTGTCGCTCTGTGTGTTCTCAATCCTTTTCCTTCAGTTCTTGCTGTCAAAAAAAAAAATACAACCATTGCTTTTTATTTTTACACACCCACCCGGATACTTAGAAAATATCCCTCCCTAGTGCTTAGCCTGTTCTCATGAAGTTAGAAAAGACATTTGCAAATGTCTTTTTTACTGAATAAACCCCTGCAGCAGTGTGACACCTCTCACATTTTACAACAATTATCAAGGTGAAGGCAAGATCAAAGACGTGAAGTGCTTTGGTTTGAACAGAGCATTTGGCCAAATATTTCATGATACCCATATGAATGAATTAGAGAAGTATGACTTAAACAAAATCAGTTGGCTGAATAACAAAAAGAAATCTAAAGAGTATTGACTACAGATCACTGTAAACTTGAAGGGAAGACTCTTCTCTAGTCAGTTACCACATCTTTAAAGTGAAGGGAGTGTTCCAATATTTGGTGTAAAAGATTATTTTTGGTTGTGCATGAGGGATTTTTAAAAAATATTTAATGTGTTTATTTTAATGTATAGTGGGAAAATGAATATTATCATATAAACCCATACTTTCATGGATCTTATTAAAGTTTAAAAATTGAGGAAATTCAAAAGAATATTTGTAATAAAATAGTAAAGGTAGTGCTATTTGTTTAATGTCTTTACAGGTCAAATAGGCAATATCGCAATCCTAAATATAAAATCTTATAACCTAGCAATTTCACTTTTAGAAATGTATCATGCCCAAGTACACAAAGAAACAATGTTCATTGCAGCTTTATTTGTAACAGCAAAATACTAAAAACAAAACAAAAATCCTAACTGATTAAATGACGTCATTAGCAAATGGCTAAAGGTGTTATTGCACATCCATGCAACAGCCGTTTTCCTTTTAAGCCAGTGATTCTCAACTGGGCACAATTTTGCCCAATCTAGCAATGTCTGGAGATACTTTGGTTGTCACAACGGTGGAAGAAGGAAGGTATGCTACAGTACCTAAGGGGTAGAAGCCAGGGATGCTGCTAACCCTCCTTTGATGCATAAGACAGCCCTCCACAATGAAGAATATTCAGTTCAGAGGCTCCTTGACTTATAATGGGATTCCATCTCGATAAACCCATTGAAGTGGAAAATATTAATGTTTATGAGAACACATGGACACAGGGAGGGGAACATCACAAACCGGGGCCTGTCAGCAAGTCAGGGGCAAGGGAAGGGAGAGCATTAGGACAAATACCTAATGCATGCGGGGCTTAAAACCTAGATGACAGGTTGAAAGGTGCAGCAAACCACCATGGCACATGTATATCTATGCATCATACCTGCAGGTTCTGTACATGTATCCCAGAACTTAAAGTAAAATAAAAAATATAATGTTTTCAACTAACCACTATTTTATCAGGATGTAACTCCATCATAAGTCGATGAACAAACTGACAACACATTTTGTTTGTTTGTTTGTTTTTTGCACCGTTGTAGAGCTGAAAAATCATAGGTTGAACCATCAGAAGTCAGGGACCACCTGTACTGAAAATTTAATAGTACCAAAGGTGAGAGACCCTGGTTTAAGCAGAATTGCTTTTTTGTGGTCATCAGTTCTTACTCTTTTCATTCCAAAAGAAGTTTGACCGTGTGCTACTAGTTAAACCCTTATTACACTAGATTTAAAAATTAAACTGTTTCATCTATTACAAAGCAAGCTCTTTTGGTGAAGGATTCATGACTGATTCACCTTTGTTACCCCAGATCCAATGGTTAAATGGTCTGTCTTTGGAATGAATGAGCTGAGAAAAAGCATAGCCAAAGAAGTGGGCACACCCTGGCTTAGAAACAGGCAGATTTGGGTCACTAATAGAGAAACTCTGGACAATATATTTGAAAAGTAGCAATAATGACACTTTTCTTGAAAGGTTTAAAAAAACAGAGATTATAAATGTAAACTGTCTGACTCATGGTAGGCACTCATAGCGGCAACGGTTGTTATTGCTGCTAATGGTTATTATTATTGGCAGTGAGATCGGCACCTAACAACATTGAACTAACTGCTCAACAGGTTTAACTAATAGATCCTTAAAGTCCTTTCCTACTCATTCTGTGGCATAGTCCTGAAAGCAATTCATTCATTCATTCATTTTTCTAACTTATTCAACAAATACTTATTTTCTACTCTAATGGAGTAAGCAAAAACTAAAATCACAAAAATTTAAAATACAAGCATGCAACTTAGATGTTAGAGACTCCCTGCCCCTCAGTGGTCTGATTACACTCTGCCTAAATCCCAGCCCCACAACCTGTGTCAGCCCAGTGTCCCCGATAATCCAGCAAAGTCTCAAGAATTCCTCCTTATGTGTTTCTCTACTCCTGTGCTCCTTCATCCTTGGGTGTAGACTGTTTTTCTGCATAGCTGCCTGGTGCATGACTTAACCCTTTTACTGGCCTCCATAAGAAATCCTTACACATCTAGTTCTTGGTAGTTTTTACTAAAAACAGGGGTGAGGGGTGCCTGTGAAGGGTCACATCCCCTAATGCAAAGACTTCACCAACTCCTGGCTCCTCTCAGCTATCCCGATGTTCTCTCTCTCCCATTCCAGAGTCCCTGAAAAACTCCTCCCTTGCTTGCTACAGTTTAGTTCTAACCAGATCCATAATGCTTGGGCTTTCACTGTCTATATCCAAGGCAGATATTAGGGTACTTTCTCAGATAAATCCAAAGAGGAATTCCAATAGCAACTGTTACTATAGTTACCTTTCCCTATTTACTTATATTTTGTATAAGTATGATTAAGAAAACATGCAGGATGTACTGTTTGGGAAGAAGATGATTTAGAAACTTCTTTACCATGGAAGGTATCTGAGCAGGAAAGGGAAACAATCAAAAGGATATTCTAGGAAGACGCTTAGAGACAAGTAAAAGAAGGAATGGGGCAGAGACCCATTGGATGGCAGGAAAGGGGCAGGGTGCTAAACCATCTTGAGTTGATCTTTTCCCACCTTCCCAGTGCTGTGCCTTTGCTCATGGTGACTGATTCCCAATTCAGAAAGGTGCAGCTCTATGGTGGCTGTCCTCTGTATGCTGGAGATAACGGTGAGAATAGATACAAGGGAATCAGTTCCCTGATCAATCAGATACAAGCTAGGCAGTGACCACAATAAACCATAAGAAAGAAATGATAGTCATGGGCCAGACACAGGGCTCACACCTGTAATTCCAGCAATTTGGGAGGATGAGGTGGAAGGACCACTTGAGTCCAGGAGTTTAAGACCAGCCTGAACAACATAGAGAGACCCCCGTCTCTACAAAGAGTTTTTAAAAAAATTAGCTGGGCATGTTGGCACATGTCTGTGGTCCCAACTACTTGGGAGGCTGAGGTGGGAGGATTGCTTGAGCCCAGGAGTTCAAGGCTGCAGTGAGCTGTGACCGTGCCACTGCATTCCAGCCTGGGTGACAGAGCAAGATTCTGTCTCAAAGAAATAAATTAAACTAAATATAAAGATATGATAATCATGGTGTTTTGACCTATAAGAATTTGTAGTGATGACTAATTGATGGTGAGGTCCCAAGAAATGAAATAAATGAGCAGCCTACTAAGGTGCAGCTAGACATACATAGATGAAAAATTTCTAGGTCTACAAGACAGAAACCTAACCCAGATTCACAGCTTTTTACCCAGTTCCCAGGTCTAAGCTAGTTCACAGTCCTGGAGCCACTTAACTATGAGGAAGCTGGGTCCTTCTGAGAAAGGATCCTGCAATGTAGCCACACGTATGCGTTCTGAATTTTCACCCAAGCTTTCCCCAGAGATAGTGTGGGCTGCATGACTTCACATTGGGGAAAAGAAATGCCTAGACTATGCAGAGACATTAGATACTGTCTCTAAATTTACACTGATTCTCAGAGACTGGAAACACCAATGCACCTAACGTGTCACTGGGGGCTTATAAAGTTCAAAGGGTAAATGAAGTCTTGGCCTGAGTCCATCTAAGCAGCGTAACCATGGACTTATTATGTGATTCTTCCCAAGTCCCAGAATGCATACTGAGAATAGATATCAGAAACAAGCAGAGTCCTTACATTATTTCCCTGGCCTCTGGTAGGAGGACTGTTATGGTAGGATCAGGCAGAAACCTCTGGAGTTGCATATATGTATGCGTGGTGTGTGTATGTGTGTGTGTGTGTGTGTGTGTGTAAAACTTTATAGTTTAAAAAAATAGTAAAACTAAACCAAACACAACAAAAAACCACTACGACTTCCCTAGAGAAATGGCAGAAATAATGCTACCATCAAAAACTTGAGAAATGCAGAGTGATAATTCTTACAATATCATCCCTTTATTCACCTAATTGGAAACCAGACAAATTCTGAAGAATGACAGTTGATAATCAGGTTGTGCTGCCAATCACAACTGCAATTCCAGATGTGCTGTTCTTTAATGGAGCAAAACGACATAGCCCCTTGCACTTGACGTACAGCTACTGACCTGCTTTATTTTCCATTCCAATCATTATGGAATTTGGGGAAACTGCACTTGTACGGTAGGGACAAGAGTATACTTTTATTAATACCATCTTGCCCCAGGACTGTCAACTCTTCCACTTTTTGTTACAATGTAGTCCAAAGTGAACTTAATTTTCTTAGTAGCCCACAAAACATTATATTGGTCCACTGTATTAATGCCATTATGCCTTAAATTAGGGAGAATATATAGTGTCCTCTCTCCCAAGGCCAAAATGCATAGCTGCAATTAAGAACCAAGGGGTAGAAATAGGAGTTGCCTTTTTTACTATTGCATCCAATAATTCACTTGAAGAGTTTCTGCTTCTTATTCAGTAGTCCTGGCTAAGCAGGCTTGAAGATTCTAGCATTAAATGAGCAATGTTTCACCCAGTAGTTATGGTCTCAATGAATTAGAAGCTAAGGCTACCTCTTGGCCATCTGGGGCTCCTTAGGCCACTGGAAAAAAAAAAATGTGAAGAAAGAAGCCATTGTACCGGTTGGGGTAACTGATCCCAGTTGCCAGGGGGGAATTGAGTTGCTGCTGCACAACTAGAGAAAGGACTGTGTTTACAACTCTGGGGACTCAGGGACATCTTCAGTACTCCCTTGCCCAGTAATTCCCATGACAGAAAGCAGCAGAAACCCAATAAAGAGCAAATCACTAAGAACTCAGACCCCGCACACAGGTTCGGTCATCTCACCAAGGTTCTCAGAGGGTGAGGGGAACCTCAACGAGGAGTTCTCAGAGGGTGAGGGGAACCCAACGTCAAATGGATGGTGGGAAAAGATGGCCATGATACTTAGGCTGTATGACCATTTATGAGTAGGAACTCTAACAGCTATATTTCATTACTTGTTTTTCTCTTTTCACTTTTCTACTGCTGCTTTATATGAGGATACTAATGATACCTAATCCTTTAGGTTTAAGACGGAAGTATGAACAAATGGTTATCACCCCATGATGATAAAATAGTTGTTGGGACTCTGGGCATCTCTTGTGTTGAGGACATGAAATTTCACCTATATTAAGGACAAGAGAGGATAAGAGGCAAAAAAGTAGACTAAACATATTTTCCAACTGCCCTTCTATTAATATTTCCCATCTTTCTCCACCTTGCTTGCTGCCCCTGAAAGTCTGTCTGTTTGGACTACATCAAATGGGCTCTGTCAGGTTCAGCCTGACAGAAGAGTAGAGGAAGGGAGAGAAATTGGGGTATTCATTCTTCTGGATCACCCCATGACATGGCATCAAGGGAACTCTTCTCTCTTGATAAAGGTCACCGCTGCTCTCAAAGCAGATGCTCTCCAAAACTATCTTTTCTTCCAGTTTCAGGTAACTCCTCCCTTCCCTTGCCCTTGGGCACTAGCTCTTTGGTTCCCCTACACCATTTCCAAACCTTTGTAATTAGTCCCCTTATAAATAAACCCTCCAAAACCATCTTGAGCGTACCATCTGCTTGTTGTGATAATTCATTGCACGTCTATCAAATCATCACATTGTATACCTTGAATATACACAATATTTGTCAATTAACTTTTTCTTTTCAGACTATGCTTCACTCCCATCGCCCAGGCTGGAGTGCAGTGACCCAATCTCGGCTCACTGCAACCTGCGCCTCCCAGGCTCAAGTGATTTTCCTGCTTCAGCCTCCCGAGTAGCTGGAACTACAGGCGCACACCACCGTGCCCGGCTTTTGTATTTTTTATAGAGACAGGGTTTCACCATATTGCCCAGGGTGGTCATGAATTCCTGAGCTTAAGTGATCTGCCCACCTCGGCCTCCAAAAGTGCTGGGATTACAGGCATCAGCCACCACACCTGGCCTAATTATTTTAATTTAAATGTTAAGCAGGGAAAATGTATCACTTTGATGACTGGGATATGAACCCTTGTTTTCCAGTAATCTTTACTTTTGGCTAGCACCTAAACACTTAATTCCATCCTGTCTCTCTCTAGACTAAGTTGCTGAATGCAGGACAACCATGTCTGCCTTGCTCACTATCAAACCACAAAATGCCCAACAACTTCTGATACACCATAGCTGCTCACTGCCGAGTATTTCTGTCTGGTTTCTGATCCATTTGGAATTCTCAAAAGGCAATCTAAGGCAGTGCTTCCCAAACTTTAATACGCATGAGTCACATAGGAAGCTTTTGAAAATGTCAATTCTGACTCAGTAGATCTGGACATTCTGTATTTCTAGCAAGTTCCAGGTTATACAGATGCTCCCAGTTTATGGAACACATTTTGAGGAACAAGTTAATGCCTTATAAAATTAAGCCAGAACCCCCATCCAAAAAAAAAACCAATATTGTATGCTCCCACTTACACAAATGTCCATAATAGTCAAATTTGTAGAAACGAAGACGGTGATTGCCAGGGTCTTGAGGAAGGGGAGTTACTGTTTAATGAGTACAGTTTCAGTTTGGGGTGATGGAAAAAGTTTTGGAGATGGAAGTGGTGAAAGCTGCACAAAAATGCAAATGAACTTAATGCCACTGGACTGTACACTTACAAAGTTAAAATGACAAATTTTACATTAAAAAAAAAAAAACTTTAAAAACTCAAACAAGGCCCAAGTTGATCTTGCTTCAAGGTGTCTGCCACAACAGGTCCAGGGCCGGTGGTGCACGCAGAGCCTGTCTTACCTGCCTCCAGATGCCTAGATCAAAGGTTGCATTAATGCTAACTCTGCCAAGCAAACTGCAGTTGGATAATGGTCTTAAAGGGTCTCATACATCAATTCTACTCAGAGGATTTCTGAGACAAGTTGCAGAAACTGCAGAACATGAAGCTAATTTAGGCTGTACATAAAAAGTGCATTTTCTAATCTAAACAATTTTCATGACTTAGAGCTGAGACTCCAGATAAAAGTTACTGCCAGGACGGAAAATTAGTTTGCAACTGAAATTCCTAATGCTTACAACATGGTGCCTCTCAAAGTGAAACGCTTGACTGGAATCTGGTATCTCATGATCACAGGGACATGTGAAATATAGCTATATCCACTGAAGGCACTTTGAACCAGTGACACTGGCTGGGCTTTCACCAGAATGTTAAAGGTGAAATTGTTGTTTGGGAATCAAATTCTTTATTATATTTTGAACTTTGATGGCCTATTCATTACATATTGAAGCTGCAGAACATCACTTATGAGACAAGGAGTTTCCATAGTAAGTAGGATGCTACTGTATTAAATGTTGTACCAGATGATAAAAGATTATGGGATCACTAATTGTGTCACAACTTAAAACGAGAGTTAACCTTTCTCTCAGATGCTCACAGCTCCCTCAGTTCCCTGGATTGCAGTAGTCCTGTGATCACTCAGTGAGACCAAAACTCCAGAAATGCCTATTTTTGATGGAGAACTAAAAAAGAAAATGTGTCTGGGGTCCAAGAGTTGTCTGCTTACCTTGTTTACTCTTCCAAAACTGTATCCTGTGAGCTGTTGATGAAGTTCTTGAGAAACTTTAACTCAAAATTGAGACTACAGCTTGCCTATCCTTTTTTGAAACAAAATCAATTACACAACTGATTCTAATGTGTTCAGTGTGACCATTACTCGTGCTGTCCAAATGCAACAAGAATCTGCCTCTTAATAATCAGAGCCCTTTACTTTCAGGTCTAGATGTGGCAAGAAGTTTTGGAGCCCTCTGAAGTCCAGTCTGATTTTTAAAATCTCCTAACATGCTATCTGGAGGAAATATGGCTGGAGGCCCAGAGCAGTTATCGAGCTTG